ACATACTATCTTGTCTGCAGCCAATATCTAATACTTACGGGAAAAACAAAAACTCAGGAAAAAAGATGACACTGAGCCACTCGTGGGAGAGTTCTCATGTCTGGTGGGTGACAGAGAAAGAGAAGCAAGACCAATCCCATTACCACTAGTTATGCTTCAGCCACTCCAGTTTCAATCATTTTGCTTTTATTTCTGATGTGCAGAGGCCGTTTGATACATTCTCTTCTGGGGACAAGCCAGTCTTGGAAGGATGTGAATTAAAAAGGTATGAAGAGTACATAATTTATTAAACCAACTCATTATTGGAAACTGTTAGCATACAATTCATTTAGTAGGAACCATTGGTGGAGAAAATGACTGTTGTTTTGATCTGGTGGCATAAGCTGTGGTGTAATTTTCCTTGTCTGTGGTGATTTACCTAATCTTGAAAAACATGAACACGCACTTAAGAACTGCTCACTGCTGGAAAACAGACATGTATGTTCTGTTATTTATTAATGGCAATGGCTGTAGATTTTTATAATGTTGTATAACAAATAGACTCTCCCAGTTTTCAGCAAAATGATTGAATAATTGAATAGAGTAGTTATATCCCTGAGTGCACAATGGACAAGAATAGTTTTACTGACAAATACCAAGGCCTAGGGGCCTGTCATCTATTAACAAGTTTCACTCAAGAAAACAACTGATCAATCAAAAAATACTTCTTGTCTGACTACCATGCACAAAGAGTGAGCCTTTGAAGGGAACACATAAAATCTCAAGGGGCTAAGGGGACAAGAATTATACATTAAAATATCTAGCTAGATGTATAAGGCAGCATGTCATCAAACCCTAGATGATACAAATATTACAGGAGTTAGGGGAGGTGAGAGCTCAGTGATGCGGAAGGCCAGGGTAAGTCTTTACCTTATAGCCTCCTCTCTGATCATAGGGAGCCTTTCTTCATACAATTCTGAACATTATTTTGTAAGCCAAATGTTACAGAGTAAACTTTTAATGGCAGAATAATTTCAAGTGATATATTAAAATATATTAGCCATTCCCCATCAGTGAACATTTACTTGTTTCCACTTTTTCCCACTGCAATGATATGATAATAATCAATCTCCTTATTTCTATAAGATACATTCCCAGGAGTGGAATTGCTGGGTCAAAAGTATATGTTATTTTTATTCTTAATATGTTGTCATATAACTTTTCAAGATGGCACCAAGCTTACCTCTCCCAAAGCAAGGTGAGGAAGCACCACTTTGCCCCCATCGCTGTCAGAAGTCACACTACCACAGTCCTTCAGTGTTGCCAGCCTCATGAGTGGGTAGTCATCTTGCACTGTGACTTTCGGTCTCATTTCCCAAAGCTCTCACTGGGTTTGGTATCTTTTCATACATACTTAATAGCCATTCGGATTTTCTCTTTTATGAAATTCTTATTTTCATTCTTTGCCTATTTGTCTACTGTGTTGTTTTTCTTCTAATAAATAAGAAATTCTAATTTTTGCTTGCAGATTGTTAATGTTTAGTCATCTGTAAGCTGTTCAAAAGTTATGTATTCAAAAGTGTTGCTAAGCATCAAGTCTACAATGCCCAGTGCTAGAGAGCTATCATGGGAAATATCCATTCTTAAATTTGGTAATAGAGTTAAGGTAGGTATGGGGACATCTAGACTACCAAGCATTCCATAATAAATACTATGAAATAAAATGTATCACACAGTTATTATTGGAGTTATGACAAAGAATGATTTCTGATTACTATGGTCAAGAGAAATTTCTCAAGTAAGAGAATGAGTCTGGTTTTAATGGTTGATACGATTTTGATGAATATATATCCAAAAAAGAGAGCAATCCATGTAGGAGGAGTAACATACATTTTTTTTTTTTAATGAGTAACTTAAATGCCAAAGAGTTTAACTAAATACTATGACCATCTTAATTTTTAGTAAAATTTCTTATTGTAACAATATAGTATATAATTTTCAAATTCTAAAAACAGTTTAGAAAAATACAAATGTTTTCTAATTGTAGTCTTTTAAAAATAATGTTTTGCTGCTTGTTAAAAAATGCAGAGAGCCCGGCTGGTGTGGCTCAGTGGTTGAGTGTCGACCCGTGTACCAAGAGGTCGCAGGTTCAATTCCTGGTTAGGGCACATGCGCAGGTTGTGGGCCAAACCCCCAGTGAGAGGCATGCAGTAGGTGGCCAATCGATGTTCTCTCTCATCGATATTTCTCTCTCTCTCTCCCTCTCTCTCCCTCTGTCTCTAAAAATAAATTAATTAATTAAATTTAAAAAAAAGAAATGCAGAGAAATGTTTTGTTTCTGTGTTTAGATTTTGAAATTCTAGAAACCACTAAGCAAGTGCTTAAGCTGTAATATTTTGAAAATCAGAAAAATCTGAAAGTTATAGTAACACTTTATCTTCTTCAGTGACACTAAATCACTAAGCAGTAGCTTGATATTCTGAAAATTAATACAATTTTCTAAAACATCTAACTTGAAATTTGCTAGAATCTCTGACTCAACTAGAATGGTGGTTGTACTTGACTTTTTAGCATAGCATTATCTACTCTGTTTTAACCAAGTGTTTGAAACCTACCTATAGCCCATGTTTTGAAGAACCTTATCAGCCACATAGATCAAAATAAATAATAATAACATTAATGACTCCACTTGGGGGCTTGGTCTTTCAGCTGTACAAATCTGAATATACAGCTACTTCACAGTTTTCCAAAATAAATATAGAAGTCCCTGAAAGAACCTAAATACTCCTAGAACTAGTGTAGTGTCTACTTAATGCGCAGTCTTTGTTGGGCATGGTAGCCTTTCCCCAGGGGTGCCCTCAATAGTACCTGGCACCCTGAGTTTTTCACATGCCATTGCTGCTTCAGTGGCTACGACCAAGTACTTCATCTTTCGGCCCTGCACACTCCCTTTTGCCTGGCAAAGACGTTGCTTCTCTCCTGTCTGCCAGGGGCTGCTGCCTTCAGGATCTAGGACCAGAATCTTTGCCATCTTTTCCAGACAACATGCTGTCCTGTAAGGCACTGTCTGTGAAGTGTTGGAGCATGTGGTGCCAAATCTGCACAACGGCCCTGGTCAAGAGGGAAAGAATGCCTCTCTTCCTTCTTGGTGCTATGGACCAAACTGGGAGTCCCAAACAGCTGCTCCCCGTCACAGTGGACCGTCCTCCCTCACCCTCTGGAGGGATCAGAAACTGGGCCAGTGAGCAAGGCAGAAGGAGGAAAACCCCCAAACTCAGGAAATGTGAAGGAGGCTGACAATGCCACTTTCTCCACCATAGACATTGAGCCCAAAGCAGGCCCACACTGGGGGAAAGGAGAAGCTCTACTCTAAGTGTATTGGTAAACACTTCCGTTCTTAAAGCAAAACACTATGATTAAAATTGCCAGGGAATTATTTTAATGATCATACGGTGACCGGGAAGGTCGTGAGACTTGCACTAATGGAAAACAACTACCCCTACAGAGCAAGTGAAAGTGGGCAATGATAGAAAAATTGTTTTTTTCTCCTGGAAAACTCTATTTTGTTTTTGTTTTTCATTTCAATGCAAGGATTATTGAATTTCCATTATATGTCAGGCACTATTCTTAGCTAAGAAAGGAAGAAAAATGGATTGCTGAACTTAATCTTTGAAATAATTCTTATGAGATAAGCATTATCATCATCAGCTGCATCTTACAAAGAAGGGAATTTTGATACAGAAAATTGAAATAATTTCTCAAAGATCTCCTGGCTAGTGAGTGGCAGAGTTGAGATAGATAGCCCCCTATAAGAAAGAGTAAAAGTGGGTTTCACAAGCCATGGAGAAAAATCTGAATTTGAAATAATGAAATCTTAACTTCTATAAAGATTATGAGTTGCTTTTCTTTGAAATAGACTGCAAAAACAACAAAAAAAGTTTACTATCTCGCAGAGAGACACTGTACATATAACTTGGAATAAATTATCAGTAATGTGAAAAGTTAAGACAAAGAATAATTGAACATACTTTGTTTATTTCTAAATTATGGTTTCTGGGTATTATATGTAGTGATATATAGTGAAAAGCATACTAGATGTTACAGAAAGTCAAAATAATGATGTACAAGAAAATATGATAAATTCTTCTAAAACACAAAAAGAAGGAATAAAAGAATTAAAATGACAAAAGAAAAATATAAAATAAGCCATATAGAACAGAGATTTCCAAAGTTTAATCAAAGTTTAATAAGATTAGATGGAACAGAATAAATAATCAAATAAATAATGAAAACTTTCTTCATGTAATAAATCCTTATTCTGAAATCTGAGAGTAAGTGCTCTCTTTCAGGAAATCAATAAAAAGAAAACATCAAAACAGATGTAAACGAGTGGAACTGTCACAGTTAAAAAGCAAAAAAAGAATCCTACAGCCACCTAGGGAAAAAATAATAATAATAATAATAACGTACAAAGAAATAAGATACAATTGGCCGAATTGCTCTGCCACACTCAATGTCTGCCAGGAGACAGTGAGGCAATATTTATTAGACTTTGAAAAAGTTATCCATGAACTGTTATTCCAAGATTCTGTCAATTAATATGTAAAAGCGGTAGAGAGATACTGGACATGCAAGAGTATAGAAAACACTTCCCAGATATATTTCCTGGCCATATGAATCAAAGACACTCTCCGAAATATAAGAATAAAAATCCAGGAGGAGAATTTCATGCCTGGAAAAGAGTGGCAGTGAGCTCTGACCACCAGTTAACCATTTTGCCATGCTTATTAATCCCCATGCAAATCATACTGTTTCTCAGCATTTGTATTAATTTCCTAGGGCTGCCATAACAAAATACCACAGACTGAGAGAATTTTATTTTAATAAAATGACAGAATTTTATTTTCTCACAGTTCTGTTCTGGAGGCTGTAAGCCCAAGATCACGGGGCCGGCAGGGTTTGGTTTCTGGAAAGGCCTTTTCCTGGCGTTCTGACGGTCGCCTTCTCCTTGTGCCCCGCCTGGCCTTTCCTCCGTGCGCTCACCCTCTTGGCATCTCTTCCTCTTCTTATAAAGACACCAGTCCTGTTGAATTAGCCCCCCACACACACACATTTTTATTAAAGTAAGGTTATCAAGAGACTCAGTAGGTTGTATAACCTTTATAAGTATTTATAACATACAAGTATTATAATTATTAAGCAGTGGAAGGATTGATTTGGGGGACTGGTCTAGGAAAAAGATACGAGGTAGCACACACAAGCTGTATAGGGCTGAGCTGCGTAGAGGGAAGGCCCCTCGCAGAAGAGTATTATCCAGAAGCATATGGCCAGGAGGACAAGAGGACCTTTGGGGAGAGGAGGACAGCAGAGGGGGCTAACGTATGTAGGTGATGCTGCTCAATAGCATGTCTGGGAATCTCCAGGTCAGAGGATTCCAAAGGGATCCTTACGAATGGCCAGCAGAAGTCGGTATGGTTTCTCAAAGTGTGCAAAGCACACAGGTTTTAAATGCTAACAATCTGCTTATGCTATTTTAAAAGTAATCTGATAGGTAAAAATTTGAGTGTGGCACCAGTGGGCTTTCGAACCAACATGTCTCAACTTGCAGTAAAGAAATAAACAGCCTAGGGGCCGCTACATAATGGCCATTTGGCTCTTTTATATAACAATTATTATTACAAGTAGTATATACTTATATGCTTATAAATATTACATATACATATAAATAGGTATACTGATGCTATTACATACTAGTACTGTGATATTCAACAATGAAATTGCCAAATTATAGTTGCCTAATGAGCATGAACAAGGAGGGGTTGAATATTTATTTCTTCTTAGTAAAAACAATTCAAGTTAACAAAAACACTGTATTGGCAAAACACCACTTAAGCATTTTACCAATTATAAATGTACACTTTCATGTGTGTAATTATATATAAATTACTTTAGCTTACATAAAATTGCCAAAAGAATGGGCTATTCTCATGCTCTTTAAAGGAAATTTTAATTATTTTCTGCTCTCTCATTTTTATTTTTATTCTTCTGCTTTTTGTGTCCTTAGAGTTACTCTGGCATAGTTGCCAGGGAAAGAAAGTCAATAGAAATACATATTACTGATGTTACATTAACAGACTCCACAGATAGCAATGTGGACCATGAATATAACCGCATATAATACAAATGTCCCCAATGTTGGGAGGGAGGAAGGGGAAACTAATAAATAACAGCTTTAAAATTGTATAAGGAGGAAATAAAACATCATTCCAATAAATTAACAAATAGGACCCACTAGACTTATAAACATGCAAAGTATTATGCACTTTAAGTGAAGTTAATAAAACCAGATGGGAATTATTTTATTAAAAAGCTGTTTAAAATAAAATATTCCTAAGATACTGTGGGTTAAAAACTTTCTTCTTGTTCATCTTTTTATTATTATTATTATTATTGTTGTTATATTAAGATTAGGATGTATGTTAGGGGAAGGAGAAGCAGAACAGCTCAGTTCAACATATTATCAGGAGCCCATGTAGTAGGTGCCCAGGATTCCCCTTCCCTATTTGATTCTAGGTTAGAGTTTTTCCAATGAGAGGCGCTAACACAAGATTTCAAGAGCAGAAGAGGAGAATCTGTATTCCTTTAGGCAGGTTCAGCCAGCTGTATGAACAGATCTGATTTTCACAGCAACTTTATGGCAGGTTTTTGCAGACCAAGATAATTGGTGGGAGTTTTGCAGTGTTCCTAGAGTAGTAAAGCAGCTTCCAAGCAAATTAAGAACTACCCACTTTGATGTTTTAGGCTGAGGTCTTTGGTGGAAGCTTTCCTGACATTTGTTCACTCAGTTCCTCTAATAGTGTAGATGAGCCTCTATTTTCTATAGTAATCCTGTGTCTAAATCACATAGTGAGTGAATAATCTCAGACAATGCTATTGTCTATGTCCACCTCTAGATCTTAAGCACAGATAAAAAATACAGGTGGAAGAATTCACATAATCATCTTTGTGTCTAAAACATTAACCAATGGCAAAATTAGTAGTGTGTATAGTAAGGAACCCCACCTCTGCTTAATAGATTTCTTGGCCTTTTCTAAGAATGGAAACTGATATGAGCGGTAGGACTGATCCAAAAAAAAACTTCCTGAGCTTGTAGCCAAATGATTTCACACTATTTTGTCCTCACCCCACTAAGAGATGAAATCAGTATGTAAACTTCCTCCTTGTTCAGTGTTTTCATGCATTCAAATACATGTAATTGTGATAAAAAATAAAACAGACTCTTCATCCCAACTATTGGACTACCCTGCTCAGATAAGGATTTTCTTCTCCAATATGTACATAGCATATCTCTTATCATTTATTTTTTTATACCAAAAGCCCCATGACTTGACAGAAGGTTCTTAATATTACTGAGAATTTAATTTTGGATCCAAGTGACTGTTTAATATTTTTAACTGTTTCTCTTCTCTGCCATTATCTTCTGAGGTTGATAGAGGTAAACTTAGGCTATAAATACATATATTCTGACAAATACAGAGAATGCCTTACTTTATAATTTTCACAAACCATAATTTTAAACAACATTATCACAGTACCTAAGAAACTTGGGTACCTTAAAATGTTGTGGGTAGAGACATGAATTGAGAATTTTTGTCATAGGTCTTTTTTATAATCAGGTCCTAAATATGCTCTAGACCATTGAATTACTCTTTTAATTACCCTCTCCACCTTCAATAGCTCTCTTTTCCTCATTTTCAGTTTCTTCCAGACCACCTCCCCTATAGTCTCTGAGATTGGGGGGAGGGGGATCATGTGGATCAGTTCTGAGACCATGTGGGCAGAAGAGAAATGCTCTCTCAGTCCTGGACCCCTAAAATTTACTATACATTAAGTTAGATGCAGGGGATTCAGTGAGGACACTGAACAGTAGGAGCTGGTGGAAGAAGGCTGGATCCCTGAATGACTATATGAAATAGAACTTCCCACTGACCCACCTTGAACTATGATATGATCAGAAAGCCAATGAAATTGTTGAGGTAATTGGTTAAGCGTAAGTAACCTAATCTGATTAAATAGGTTAACCTATTCTAATTTCCAACATCTCCTCATTGTCTACAAAATAGAACCTGAATATTTTAGAATAATTTTCTAAGACATCATTCCAAAATAATTTTCTAGTATAATCTTCTCCCTTTCATAGACCTCATGCATAAAATTATTCAGGATTAACTGGATGAAATTGGAAGAGAATATACCATCTTTTTTTCTTCATTTAGAATTTCTTTTCTTAAATATTTGCCACTTGAAATCCCACATATATATCTATTAAGATGACTAAACTGTCGGGAGCATTGTGTTTTTGTGAATTGTGTATAAGCACGCACAAGTATGTGCATTTTAAGAGATATTATGACAATAATATGGCCTGCCAGGAAAAGATTAAAGTATTATGTCATACAAAAATGAAAACGCTCATTTGCAAGCACTCTGGTTTTAAGTGATCTGTAGATGAGTTTCTCTTTAAAAAAAAAAAAAAAGATAATTTGCTTTTATATGAAAAGCCAAGCTTCACATTATATTCCATACTCAGAGCAGTGGTGTATTAAATAAAATATTAAGCAAAAAGTTGAATGCTAATTCTAACTTCTTTGATTTTCTTTACCGTCACAAATAATGTATTCTGGAAGTGGCATTGTTTTACAGCTTTGTCTTATCCTACAGAGGTAGGATCCAATAAACAAAGTGAAAGACACCCACCCTGAAGGGTGATAGTTTATTGTAGTTATAGATAGACTCATATAGCAAAGCCATATAGATGTTCTTATATTGCTTGAGCCAAGGCTAAATATATAATCATTCCAAGATATTCTAAAATATATGTATTTACTGATCAGTCAGCATTCTGCAGCGTGAAAGGCATCTCCTTTATGTCATGTGAGATTTGGCTTCATACATGGGAAAGTGTGGAGGGAGCCTTAAGGCTCAATTGACATTTGCAAGAAACAGTCTGCCTGCACAGAACACCATCTGTTTACAGTTATTGCCTATCAAAAATATCAGGATCATTCTCTTGTGAACAATCATTTGAGAAGCCATTGCTGTTTCACTCTCACTGAGTAGCTGAGTAGCAGAAAAATATCATTTTGTTAGAAAGTAGACTGATCTCCACTTAGAAAAAACTATGGAATCTTGATTTTCTCCTTTCAGAATCGAAGTAACTTCTTGTCAATGCTTAAATTGTATATGACAACCAAGAAATTGGGTTTACTTCCTTTTTACCTGAGCATCTGAAATTACTAGAGATGACCAAAAGAGTTTAAGGGGAGTTTTGAATTTTTATATCCCAGATGGTATCTTTCAGGGTTTCTTTACACATAATAAATAGGCAAATATTTGCTGGATTTGGTTGAAGAAACTGATGTGGCATCTAAACACAAATTGAGTTATAAATAAAGTAATTAATTAATTAATAAAATTTAGACTAAGTGAACTATTTGCTTCCTATCTTGTTTTGGCATAAACACAAAATAATCGAAACTAGCAAAGATGAAAAAAATGTAGTACCTATTTAATTTGCAGAAGGACAAGAGCAATATAAGCCCTGCTGCTTGTGAACATAAAAGAGAAATGCTTATCTGAATCAGAAAGGGGTTGAATTAATTCTGAAAACATCGTTCCTCTTATACTTTTGGTATTAATTTTTCCCTCAGTCCTGATATTTTTTGTGATTTTTAAGCTGAGATCATCTATGTGCAGGCTTGACATTATAGTTAAGTAGAAGCAGGGCTAACTAAATTGAATGAATTTTTACTTACAATTTGAATGTCAGTGATGCACAGTTTTCCAGAGACAATGATTATAATTAAGTTCACACCTCAACTTTTCTATCTGAAATGATAGTGACAAAACTACAATTATGCAAAATGACATATTTCCCAAATTATGCACTATGAAGACATTAAGGATACTTTAAAAGTAATCACATGTAGGTAAAAAGAGGGAAAAAAAAAAAAAAAAACTTACCTAATCCTTCAAATGAAATGATTCATTATCAAACTAAACAGATTTATGGGTTATTTCTCCTATGATTTCCATTTGCTTACATTTCCAAATTGCTCCTTTCCTTTATCGACAAGATAGCAAGCATGCAGATAAATATGACACTAACACTTAAATATATACTTCCCCAAGAATAAAATAAAGTCTAGACAGAGGCATGTAATATAATAAACTAATAAGAATACAGAAAATGATAAAAATATGTTCATCAATTAATCTATCTTTAACAACTCATTTTATATACTAAAAATAAAATGTGGCACACAGCTAAATCAGGGCTGGGGGAGAATTGTATGGCAAAAAAATGTTTACATTAGAAAAAAAGAGAAAGTTTCAAATCAATTATGTACATGCTCGCCTTGCCTTTTATGAAGTTAATATTACCCTGATACCAAACCCAACAAATACAAAAAAAGAAAGAAAGAAAACTACAACTCATTATCTCTCATGAATATAGATGTAAAAGCCTTAACAAAATATTAGCAAATTGGATTCAGCAATATATGAAAATAATTATGCACCTTGACCAAATGGGGTTTACTCCAAAGATGCAAGACTGGCTCAATATCTGAAAATTAAAAAATGTAATCCACCATATTAACAAGATAAAGAAGAAAAATCACATGGTCCTATCAACTGATGTAGAAAACCCATTTGACAATATCAGGACACCCATTCATAAGATTAGAGGAGAACTTCAACTTCTTTTGTTTTTGTTTTTGTTTTTAAGTCTGCAAAAAACCTACAGCTAAAGTCATACATGATCATGAAAGACTTTTATTTTTAATATTTTTTCCTTTATTAATTTTAGAGAGAGGAAGGGAAAGTGAGAGATAGAAACATTGATGAGAGAGAACATCAATTGGCCACCTTCTGCATGCCCCCCACTGAGGACTGGGCCTACAACCTGGGCATGTGCCCTGACTGGGAATCGAACTGGTGATCTCTTGGTACATGGGTCAATGCTCAACCACTGAGCCACACTGGCCAGGCAATCATGAAAGACTTAATACTTATCCCCTAAGGTCAGAAAAAGACATGATATTCACTTTTACCACTGCTATTAAACATAATATTGGAATATTAAGCCAGTGCCATAAAGCAAGAAAGGAATGCAAGGCATACAGATTGTAAAGGAAGAAATAAATCTACCTTCATTTGCAGAAACATGGTGGTCTATATAAAAAATTAGGTTGAGTGACAAGAGTTAATCTCAAAAGGTCACATACTGTATGATTCCACTTATGTAATTCTCTCAAAATAACAAAATCATGGGGATTAATAATAAATTAGTTGTTGCAAGGGTTTAGGGATCATGGAGAAGGAGGTTAGTAGGTGTGATACTAAAGAGACAGCATGATGGAGATGTTGTGTTAATGGAATATTCTTTCTCCTGCCCTGGCCAATGTGACTCAGTTAATTGGGTGTTGTCCCATGCCAAAAAGTTGCCAGTTCAATTACCGAACAGGGCACATACCTGAGGCTGGATTCCCAGTAGGGGGCATGAAGGAGGCAGCTGTTGATATTTCGCTCTCACATCAATGTTTCTCTCTCTCTCTTTCCTTCTCCCTTCCTCTCTCTCTAAAAATTAATTTTTAAAAATCTTTACAAAGAATATTCTTTCTCTTGATTGTGGTGGTGGTTATATAAATTGACACATCTGATAAATGACATAAAACCACACACACACACACACACACACACACACACATTGTACCACTGCCCATTGCCTGGTTTTAATATTTTGCTATAGTATGTTTTAGGGAAACTATGTGAAGGATATGTGGGATTTCTCTATATTATTTTTGCAACTTCCCGTGAAACTACAATTATTTCAAAATGAACTGTAAAAAAAGCCACAAACTAGAATAAAATATTTGCTGTTGATGAGTGACAAATAATTGTTATATTACATTTATGATTAATATAAAACTTAATAAGAAAAAGCAAATAACCAATTAGAAAATTGTGCAAAGGATAAAAGAAAATTCCTAGAAGAGGAAAAGATGTTAGTAAACATCATTAAATCTACCACCATTAATTATGCTATCTACTCTGTTTCTTCTGCATTTAGAATATTTCTTTGATAAAATATAACTTTTCCTTAAGTTATAAATGAATGGGAAACTGGACAGATAGATTTGTCCATATTATTATTATGTGAATTAATTTCACTCAGTTTTATAAAATATTCAGACTTAATAAAAACTACTTCAGTCAGAAATGTTTTGAAATACTAAAAGTCAGTATATAACATTATTTCTAAACTCCTATACAAGTCAGGATCTCCTGCTTTCCAACTAGTTAAAAATACCACAAAATAAAATAAGAACACCTTATTAATTTGTTGTGAAGTTGTGTGTATGGACTGTGGAGTAAAGGTTGAGAAATGGGAAGCACAGGAAGGCTTGGTGGGTTGGTAGGGGGTGTAGTTTACAGAGCTAAGCAAAACTGCAATCTAGACAGGATATATAGAGTTTAGTAACTCAGATTGACAGGGATTTTATTATTATTATTATTATTGATTTCAGGTAGTCATTTTTGAGCAACACCATGATTTCTGCCTCAATTCAACTAAATTACCATGTGTGTCTAGTTCTGACCTGACTGTAAGTAAACCTTCTACTAAGGTGTCAAAGTTACTTTCTATTATAACCAGATATCTCTCAGAGCTCAAGATTAATGAGAAAATAAATCTCAAATCAAACCAGAAGGAAAAAAACGTGCCATTGAACAAACTTAATTTGATTTTTAGTCTAGTTTCACAGCATACCTGAGATGAATACATATTTTCTGCAGCAGAATAGACTTCCAGGAAGAAAGTGTGCCCAGAAAATAAGGATTTGGTGTGTTCAGTGGCAAAATTATCCTCAGGAACCTACGTCAACAAAATAATCCCTGAACTGTCCAGGCCCTAAGCAGCTTGCTGGCATGGAGTGGTGAGGTGGGGGTCCAATTCAGAATGGTCTGAGTCATAGAGGGAAAATGTCTTTGCTTCCAGTAACAGATTTTTCAGTGTGGTAGTTTTAGTTTGAGTATTATGCATTCATAAAATAATCTTAGCCTGGCCAGTGTGGCTCAGTGGTTAAACGTTGTCCTATGCACCAAGAGGTTGCTGATTTGATTCCTGGTCAGGACACAAACCCAGGCTGCAGTCTTGATCCTCAGTAGAGGGTGTGCAGGCGCTCTCTCATTGATGTTTCTATCTCCCTCTCCCTTCCTTTCTCTCTAAAAAAGTTTTTTAAAAAATTTTAATTAAAAAATAGAAATAATCTTAGAAGATTAAGTCATTAGAAGGAAAAAGCATAAGAAAGAGATAGCATCATTTGGCACCATTTGGAAAAATAATGTTTGTATTTTATGTGTTTATAAAATTTAAAGTTTGTTTATACAAGTGTTTTATTAATAACGGAAGCTGGGATGTTTCAGATATTTTGGAATTTATACATGTTGAATAAACTGATTTCAGCTTAATATAGATTTATTTACAGTGTGTAATAAATTAATTTCTGGCAACATTTTTGAAAAACATATTTCCCAATATATTTTTAAATTTCCAGGGAAATTTTTCATTCCAGATTGCACCTACCCTAAATGACATACATATATAATATACCATTTTGAATTTCAAACTAAAGGCCCTTTATCATCAATTACTTTGTAATTTATTGTTTGTTCAAAAAGCTAACTTGGGAAATCTGGTTATTGAACTTGCTTGGAAAATATAAACTAACTTCAAAGAACCAATAGAACCCTTTCCCTCATCCTACTGAAATATCAAAGCCTTGAATAAATTTAATCACTTTCCTTTTGTTCACAAAACTGATTAATGAATGTTAGTAAAGATTATGTTTAGGCAAAAAATAATTTCAGGATAATTAAGCAATATCCTACATTTAAGATTACTTAGATGCTTCTTGTTTATTTGCTATTTTTTTTGCACATCGTTTTACCATATACAAAAATAATATTTCAAAACAAGTCATTAATATTAATAATCCACATGTACTGGTACTATTAGACTATCAAGAAGATACCAATGTGTATAATAACTTTAATGAAAGATGGATATTTTTTATTCTGTTATAAGTGTATTAAAGCTAGCATACTGTCCATATGCACATATTCCTTTTCCCAATGCAACTATGATTATACTTTTTTTTAATTTAGTTTTTCACCTTGAATTTATATGCTTACTCAAACAATCTTTAAAATTCTATTTGTTTAGAGCACAAAGAAACACTATTATTTACTGCAACCTTAACCATTAAAGCTAAAGCACTGCAAAAGCAGCTAAGGAAAAAAATGGTTGTGATATTCCCAGACAACAGCATAGCACTAAATGAATTTCAATGCTGCAGCAAAGCTTTTTTTTTAATAAGAAAAAATATTTATATCAAACTTTATCATCATAATCAAATATAACATTATTATACTGAATATTGACTTTATACATCATGCAAGACTTTGCTATTGCTGAAATGTATTATTAAAGGTAGAGTGACAGTTGTGACAAAACCTATTGCTTGTATGCTTTCAACCACATTGTCTCATCACAATCTGAAAGAAAAATGTGTCACATGGGATAGAGAATAAAAAGAACAACTCCCAGGATTATTATCTTGTCACTTCCTATACACCCAGACTTACTCTATAGTCATTTTTTTAAGTGAATGAAAAACTAGAATAACATTAAAAGCTGTAGTATGTTTCTTGCTAAAACCTCGGTTGCAATTTTGTTTCCTTTGCTTAAGTGATCACTTCCAAGACCATGGCCTCAAATTAATTGTAAATGGGTGATGCTCTTAATTAATTCTATCTCAGAATTCTTCTCTGAGGTTTATATCCACAGTCAGCAATATCTCTATTTGGATGTCTCAAGAGCTTCTTCATTTCAACATATCCAAAACTGCACCAAAATTTATCAGTCTCCAAGAACTGACTTCCAGTTTTACCCTCTAAATATCATTTTCTTATTTTATCTTATTTTATTTACTTTATCTACATTGTGAAAACCCCACTTCAATCTACTATCATCAACAGCTTTTTCACTGGTCTCAGAATCCATTCCTGGCCGTCTCCAAGCCATTCTTCACTCAACAGCAACATTTTTAAGACCAAAAAAAAAAAAATGACCTTGGAGCAAAGTGAGTGGTCAAATATATCTTGTACTACTTTCAAATAAGATGATAAATGAACACAGGAGTTGACAAAATATAGATCATGGGCAATGTTAACAGGATTCAGTGGAGTGGTAGAGAATGGAAGCCAAGGTGGAGAGAGATGCAGCAAATGAGAGATAAGGAAGTAGAGATACTGTATAAAAACAACAATTTTAATGAGTTTATGGACTGAAGCAGAAAAATAGGGTAGTAGTAACATTGAAATATTAAATCAAGGGAGGCCCTGGCCAGTTTGGTTCAGCAGTTAGAGCGTCGGCCTGCGGTCCGGAGAGACCTGGTTCGGTTCCTGCTAAGGGCGCGTACCTCGGTTGCAGTTTGTCCCTGGCCCTGGTCGGTCGTGCGGGTGGCAGCCACTCGATGTGTTCCTTTCACGTCGATGTTTCTCTCTCTCTCTCTGTTCCTCTCTCTCCCTCCCACTCTACCTGAACAAAAAATGGAAAAATGTCCTTGGGTGAGGATAAAAAAAAAAGAAATATTAAATCAAGGGAGGAATTTCTTAGGATGCAAAGTACTAGAAAATATTAGTATGATGGTGGATCCATCATGCCCCAATAAGACAGAACCAGGAAGGGGTGGGGGAGGCAGGTTTCTGGTTTTAAGGGGGTAAAATAGATAAAATCTGTGGTTCAAAAACATTTCTTCATTCCAAACCCTGGACCTATAGACAAGATTGTGGTTTTAAAAAGGCAGGGGGCAATTTAGTTAAGTGGAATACTGGTTTCCTGCTCCCCTCTCTTCCCATCCCCAGGGCTGATGAAAGAAAGCGACCTCATTGTTTGAAACAGATTTCACCAAGAACTCTAGCTGAAAGGCAGTAGAGAATGCTCATTCTAGAACTCTGCCAGATTATAGACAACTGCCGCATGCTCCTTCCTCCATCATCTGAGTGCTAAAAATACCCAACTGCATTGATACTTACTAACAATATAAATAGCAAATTAAAGTGAGAGACAATTAGCCTCAGTCTAATGCAATGTCCAGTGACCAAGTTTCCTCAGATTTTTGAGTAAGGAGTTACATTCCAAATAGCCACAAGTTTCTGACATAAAATTATACCAGAATGTGCAAGTAAAAGCAGTGGTGCCATATGGTCACCAATCAAGGGAGGAAGAAGAGAAAAAATTAAATTATAACAATGTAATAATGAAACCAGTACTAAAATTTCTCTACTGGTAAAACTGCAGCTTCCATAGGTTTTTTAAACTAAATTTATTGGGGTAACATTGGTTAATAAGACTGTATAGGTTCCAAGTGTAGTTTTACGATACATCATCTGTATTATTTAAAAGTCTAAGCTTTGGGGTGAAACCGAAGTCAAAACCCACGTCAGACCCCACCACTTACACAACAAGGCTAATTTCGAGCAATCAATGCTCTGGAAAGATCAGCTTTCTTTGAACAAAAAACCATGTTTTAAATTTTTCACATTAACATTTTTATTAACACCAACTTTTTAAAACTGTCATTATTTTTATTAAATGATAGCACAAAAATGTTTCATGGAAGCAGTCTCACAATCTGATAACAGATAAGCCACACCAGATTTAAACTTCTTTAAAAACACACCTATTTTAAAGAAAAATAAAAGGAAATAAGATAAAAAGGTAGGAAAAGAGGGAAAGAATTAGCTGTAGTGTTAAAACTCACTGGATTCGATCGGTGGGTCTTCTCAGATAGGATATAGGTATCTCCCGCTTTTCAAAAATTCACTTGACACCACTTCTCTTTCACCAACGACCTATATTAGTACCTGTTTTCATAAACTGAAAGAAATCCGAGGATTTTCACTTGTATGGGGGAAGAGGCAAAAAGCAAAAATAGCATTAAGCCTTTGTTTGGCGGTGAGCTCAAGCTTCCTAAGAGGCAGTGCGCACGTCGGGCAGCCTTGGCGGGGCCAAGCTCCTTCCCCAGGAGCCACACTCAGCATCTCAGCACGGAGCTGCCGTAGCTTTGCCCTGTGTCATTGAGCATCTGTGCCCCAGATTTATTCTGTGCAGCCGTCAGCAAGATATGTCCTAAGGTATCAGAAAAGCCTAAGAAAGCTCAGAAGGGTGTTATGCTTAACATAAAACAACATAATGAGGTGTATTTGGTCTGATTTGATAGTTTATTTTTTGTGTCTGGAAGGCTCAGAAATTTTTTCCATATAAATTATAATAGTAACTGTTTCACTCCATTTCGGCTTGTAAAATGTTTCATAGGGAACCTGTATACTGTTGAAACGAAGAGTGGCACACATAGATTTATATAGTCTTTGTGGCTTTTTAAAACCATTTACCACTAATACACAGGCCCTGCAGCCATTACCACCGACTGACTTTTACATGTTTAAAATGAACCAGGGGAAGCCAGTGTTGATAGAGCCACAAAGAGGTTCAGTATTTGGCCTGTCAGACATCTAAGACCGTTTATAGCAGAATAGCACTTTCGGAAAGACCCAGCTGAAAATCTTTTCATTTCTATTGTCTCACTTATAAGCATTTCAGGGTTCTCAAAACTCATTTTTTTAAAAAGAAAGAAAAGTGTTTATCAGTTTTGCTTATTTAATGTGGCTATAAAACATATTTAACAAAAATTAAACTTAAAAAAAGAGAAGAAAAAACTTTTGCCAAACCCTGTTCTAGATGGATTTAGAAAGAAAAAGCTAAAACTTCTTCTGTTAACCAATTAATCTGATATTTCTATTTTATCCTTATCATTGTATTCTCTAAATATAAGATATGGCTATAGTAAGGAGAAGTCAACTAAAGTTAGTCCTTTATTATGTCATATTAAGAATATAAAAAATTGGATGAATTGATGAAATATTATGTAATTTATATATTAGGAATATGCATGAATATAAACCTTTGATAGACAAATGTAAAAATAAAGAAATTTTGTCCCCCCAAATTGCTATTTTATCAGTTATATTAGAACCAGTCCACCAGAACTCAGTGTGGAATTGTATTATATCAGTCCTGAAGTCTGTCATCTTCCTTCACAATTTACTGCATTGTCAGTAGGAAGTTGAGTATTTTATCAGCTCTGGAAGGAGGCAGCATTCTACAACAGGAATAATTGTTGACACACATTTTTAAAAACAGTGAGCAGCTTATTGTCAGTAAGACAAGAAAATTACCACTGCAGACAATCATCACTTGTTACTCTAATTGCAGACATTCTAAAATGTCTTTTTAGAAAAATTATCTTTAGGATATTCAAGGACTACGTTAAGATATACAAATTACATATTGACAAAACTTTTTCTAGGGAACTAATCAATTATAGATAAATACAGCTTGATCAACAGCTCAAAATAAGAAGTTGTTACATTAACTTTAAAGACGGTAAGTATGTTTTGTTCCATTACCTATACTTAATGTTTGCTCTAATACAGCTCAGACATCTGTTTGACAGAACTTAACTCAATGCCTCATTCTAGAAATAACTGTCAAATCTAATGAATGAATGATCCATTGAATAAATTAGTAAACAGTTAAGTAACTAGTAGAAAACATAGAGTCGGAAATAGGTGCTCTATAGGACTGATTTAGAACTTTTTTTTTTTTTTGTATTTAAAATGTTGATCTTTATTGAATCAAAATTTTCCTGACTAGTGTCATCCCTTCCTCTGCAGTTGCGCAGCCTTGGTGTTTCGTCCTCTCAGTGACGAACGCTATGCTGTGACTGCTTTATTAGTTATTGAACTTTGTTATGACTATTGATGTTTTGTGTCCTCTATCAGACTCTAACCAACCTTAGGACCAAGGTCTGTATTCCCAATCACCAAGCACAATATCTAATATCTGGCATTGTGCCACATAATATGCATTATACCTTTTGAATGATTTGATAAATAAGCTCATCTGGAATGGAATAGTTAGCTTGGTTTAGAGAGACTGGGAGGGCCAAGGAAGGCTCCCTCAGGACATGACAATTCATCTTAAAGATGAAGAGACTTCACAAGCAGAGAAGGCAAAAGACAGTTTAGGCAAGAAGAATATGCAAAAACATAACAAATGGGACCTGAAAATTATTCAGTATGTCAATAATCTAGTATATCTAGACAACAAATGCATGAGGAAAGTGGGAACTTAGGAAGATCTTGCAGTCATGCTGGAGTGCCCTGGCCAGAACCCCTCTACTTTCCTGGTGCTCCATTGTTATGAGTTACATTGTGCCTCGCAAAAAAAATCTGTTGAAGTCCTAACACCTGGTATCTGTGAATATGACCTTATTTGGAAATAAGGTTTTAACAGATATAATCAAGTTAAGATGAGGCCATTAGGATGGGCTTAACATGACTGGTATCCTTATAAGAGGAAGAGAATCTGGATGCAGACACACAGGGAGAATACCATGTGGCAAAAGAGGCACATGTGGAAAGACAGCCACTGCCTGATCTACCAAACAATGGCAGCACCTCATTTTCAGGGACCAAACTGTGTTCCAGTTATGTGTGAATGCATAAAAAACAACCCCAAATTTAGTGGTGTAAACAGCCATTTCATTATGCTCATAGAAGTTAGATGTACTCCAGAATAAAATCATTTATGAAATCCATGCAGACCCTGATTTTTGAGAACTATATTCATAAAATGACTGGGTGTCTTAATCAAAGACAGACTACTGGGCTGGGAGGACCAGTGGTCTCACTAATTTGAAAGTTCTTTGTGGCTGTAGCTTATACTTCTGCACCTATATTTCTTTTATGCTTAGAAAACAGAATTTAATTGTCAGCATGAAAAACTGAAATATGCATTGCTATCAGGTAGAACATATTCCTACTACAAAAATTCTGCTTTCTTACTATGGCTAATTTTCTTTATAATCTCTCTAAATTATTTTGTAGTTCAAAGTTACACAAAGTTATAATTAAAATACAATAAAACCATCCATCATTCTTTATGATTTCTGGTACTATTTATGCATACATAGGCAAGAATATTCACAGACTTAGCACACTGGGCATTTTTTAATGTGCTAGTAAAAGAGAAAGAGAATGCTAAGGAAATATTATCATTTTCCTTCCTTAATTTACATTTTTATTAGTTCTGACATGTTTCATGTACTACACAATATAAAGTAAGCATTTGAATTTAATTGGTTAAAAATATTGACATTTATTAGGAAAAATCTGAATTAAGGTAATGAAATGTTGAACATCTTCACAAACATTCTTTTTTTACCTTCTGGCTACAAAAGAATAAGCTCAAAAGAAGCCTGCAATTACCTCTCTGTTCTCACTGTGCTGCCTAAAACTAGTAGACATTTACAAATATAATGGGATTGAATTTTTAAAGTTTTGCACTTGGCCCTGGCTGGTTTGGCTCACCGGTAGAGCATTGGCCTGCAGACCGGAGAGTCCCAGGTCCGGTTCCCACTGGGGGCTGGTACCTTGGTTGCAGTTTGTCCCCGGCCCTGGTTGGAGTTGTGTGGGCGGCAACCAGTCGATGTGTCTCTCTCACATCAATGTTTCTCTCTCCCTCTTCCTCCCTCTCTTCCTTCCACTCTATCTGAAGATAAATGCAAAAAAAATCCTTAGGTGAGGATAAAAAAAATTAAAGTTTTGCACTTGGGGAGATTTTTTCTTTTGTTCCTTTATATTTTAATCCATTTCTTTCTTTAAAACAAATTACCTCATCCTTATGGGAATAAATTTTTGTTTTAAATAAACAAAAGATTAGGGTGAATAAGCTAAAAAAATTGTATGCTCTTTTTTTTCTTCAGTACTGAAGCACTTGTCATCCCTTCTTATTTTCAAGTGATCAAAACACATTCCAGATATTATCAATAAAATCTGAGGCACAAACAATTTTAAACAACATCATCATTTTTTTTGATCAACTGAAAATCGATGAACTTAGACACTGTAGTGTTGGTCTCTTATAGACCAACTGTTATTCAAAGAAAATTTATGCACTATTAAAAATTTTAGATAACACTGGAAACCTTATACGCACTTCCATTCCAAAATTAGCTAGTTATTAATAAATACCTAAAGTATTAAATGCTATTCAAGAAAAAATTATTACTTCCTCTTTCAAAGTAATTTTTAAATTTGTTGGGTTTTTTTAAGTTTTATGTTAAAAAATCATAATTTTCACCCAGCTTATGTGGCTCAGTGGTTGAGCATCGACCCATGCACCAAGAGGTCGCCGGTTCCATTCCTGGTCAGGGCACATGTCCAGGTTGTAGGCCTGATCCCCAGTGGGGGGCATGCAGAAAGCAGTCAATCGATGTTCTCTCTCATCAATGTTTCCATCTCTCTCTACCTCTCCCTTCCTTTGTCTCTAAAATCAATAAAGAAAAGATATTTTTTAAAATTATATTTGTATAGTAATTTTTAAAAGGGATTATAATGATTGAATATTGCCAGAAACAATTAAATTTTGTTAAAACTTAATTGAACTATATCATGTTTTCTTGTATTTTCAAGTTGAAAATACCTTTCTTACTAATATAGAATTGAAACTGTTGATTTGTTTAAGAATAACTATTGAAGATGATAATTTCAAATACTAAAAACAAAACCAAAAACACAATATAATCTAAAATATGATATGTAAACTGCATCATTGCAGCAATGTCAAGAGAAGAAACTGATTACTAAAAACTTCTCTAACTTCATCATTCTTACGTGGTACAGAAACTATGTGAATATTTTAAATTTTGTCCAGAACACTCTCTCCTGATTAAACAAAAACAGACACAAAGAACCTTCCTCCTCTTCATGTTGTCTGAAATCATCTGTAGAAGCATTCTTCCTTTTACTTAGGCTTTGATTCCTGTTAACCTGAAAAGTCTTCAGAGAACATAAGCACTTCAATATAATGCCAACTGTTTAAATATT